TACCTCTGCCTTTCTCTTTCTCCCAGTACATTCCTCTCTTTCACCCCTTAATTTTATTTTTTAGATATCATCCCTTCATATGGAACTCATACCTCTGCCCACTATCTATACATACTCCTTCTAACCACCCTAATAATGAGAAAGCTCTTATTAGTTACAAATCTTTCCATGTAGGAATGTAAACATTTTAACTTTAATAGGTCCCTTATGATTGCTCTTTCCTGTTTACCTCTTCATACTTTGAGTCTGTGTATTTAAAAGTCAAATTTTCTATTCAGCTCCAGTCTTTCCTCAAAAATGTATGAAATTCCTCTATCCCATGGAATGTCCTTTTTCCCCCTCCTGGATTGTACTCAGTTTTGCTGGGTAGGTGATTCTTGATTGCAGTCTTAGCTCCTTTATTCTCCAATATCATATCCCAAGCCCTCCAATCCTTTACCGTAGAAGCTGTTAAATCTTGTGTTGTCTTGATTGGGTCTTCACAATACTTGAATTGTTTCTTACTGGATCCTTGCAATATTTTCTCCTTGATCTGGAAATTCTGCAATTTGGCTATAAAATTGCTATTAGTTCTCATTTGGGGATCTCTTTCAGGAGGTGATTGGTGGATTCTTTTCATTTTTATTTTGTCCTCTTGTTCTAGAATATCAGGGAAGTTTTCCTTGATAATTTCTTGAAAGATTACCTCTATGCTCTTTTTTTTTTAAAAATCATGGCTTTCAAGGACTCCAATAATTTTAAAGTTATCTCTCCTGAATCTATTTTCCAGGTCCACATTGTCTTCTACTTTTTTCATTCTTTTGGTTTATTTTATGATTTCTTGATTTCTCATAAATTCATTAGTTTCCATTTGCTCCATTCTAATTTTTAAGGAAATATTTTCTTCTGGGGGATCTTTTTGACCTCCTTTTTCATCTGGGTAATTCTGCTTTTTAAAGCATTCTTCTCCTCACTGGCTTTTTGGACCTCTTTTGCCATTTGTTCTAGTCTATTTTTTAAAGTGTTATTTTCTTCAGTATTTGTTGGGGTCTCCTTTACCAAGCTGTTGATTCATTTTTTCATGATTCTCTCCCATCACTCATTTCCCTTCCTAATTTTACCTCTATCTCTCTTCCTTGAATTTCAAAATCCTTTTTGAGCTTTTCCATGGCTTGAGACCAATTCATATTTTTCTTTTTTTGGAGGGGGGAGGGGGTTCTGGTCTGGCTTTATTAGGACTAAGGAGCTTAAGGATTGAGTGAGGATGCAATGGGCAGAGAAGTGGACTGGAGAAGGTTTAAATGGTACTAACTCTAAGTGGGAGGAAGTTTGCAGGGGGCTCCTTCAACGCTAAAGCAGGGGAGGAGAGGAATAGGGGGGAAATGGCAGAGGAGAGGGGAGGATGGGGTCTGGACTCAAAGGGGAGGGTATAAGGGAGAAAGCTAGCAGGAGAGAGCTCAGAAAGGAACTTCCCAGGAAGTGTGAGCAGCCATCAGACCCCATTTCAATTCCTCATAGGAAACAAACATCACTACATTCCAGAGGCCCAAGCAGAGGAAGGTATCAACCCTTTGTAGAAGGCTTAGGGTCTCCTTCCAAAGTATGGTGAGGGCACGGTGGCCACCACTGGCATACTGGCCCATAGCAGAGTTCATGTATCTCATCTTCACCACATGCACAAGGAAGCAATAATGGTGGTGCAGAAGCCAGCCCCAAAGGCTGATGGGAAGTAGCATGGAAGGTCATCAGTCATGACATGGGCCTTCAGGAGAGCATCTTAGATGAGATCAAAGGTCACCAGGTCAGCACAGTTGACAATAGCATTGCAAGCAATATTGGGTGAAGTTCCTTTCCATAGGCCCAGAATTCCCTCCACTCAGGTGATAGCTTCATAGGCATCAATTATGCCCTGGTATCTCTGGCTGCCACCTGCATGAGCCTGGCCTGGAAACGTACCTTTGTCACATCTGTGGGTTGGGCTATGACCACTACCAGTGCCCCTGTGATGCAGCCTGCCAGGAGGCAGCTCCCAATGACTGCATGCTCAGATCCCTTGGTGTAGAACTTCTTGACAGAGACACAGATGCCAATGAAGACAGAGGCAAAAGTCATTTGGCTCTGCAACTCAGCCACCAGCCCATTGTACAGGTTGCCAGGGCCAGGACCTTCAGTCTTCACCATGGTCAGAATGGTGCCTACGACACCCCATACTAGGTAGTGGCAGAGGAAGCTCAGATGGCTCCCTAGCTCTCTCCACGAATCTGCAACTGGACTTTGGCTGTGTCCAGGGGAAAGGTGATGAGGTCAGGGATGTAGGCAGTGCTGCCAGCTCCAAGAAATTTTGTGGTGGCTGTTGCAGGCACATTTGTAGGCTTAAATCCAACCATGATGCAATGCTGGCTTTCTGCTATTTCCCAGGAGGCAAAGGAGACAAGGAAAGATTGAACAAGATGAGACAGAGGAACTCTGCCGCAGTCCTGATTTGAGGTCTCACCATGATGACACCTGGATCAAGCTTCTCAAAAGGCCTGTTGCTCTTCAAAGAAAAAAAAAATGACCCACTTCCCTTGACTTTGCCAAGTAAATTGTTGGAAAACTGCGACCATAAAGAGAAACACAGGGAGGTGGCAGGAGGCATGAGCCTACAGAGGAGTCAGTGTCTGGCGGACTGGAAGGGCTGCCCTGAGGTTTTTTAGCTGACCCACTAAAAGGCTCTGTCTTGTAGGAAGCCAAGGACCCTGCACTGAGGGCTTCATTCATATTTTTCTGGAGGCTTTGGATGTAGGACCTTTGACTTTGTTGAGTGTTTTCATCTTCTTTGTCATCAAAGTAAGTTTCTGTAGTCAGAATCTTTCCCCACATTAATTGTTCATTTTCTCAGCCTATTTCTTGACTTTTTACCTCTTTAAGGTGTGGCTCTGCTTCCAGTGTGGAAGGTATACTGTCCAAAGTTTCAGGGCTTTGTGCAGCCCTTTTCAGAGATACTTCTAGGGACCTGTGAATTTTGAGTTCTTCCAAGGTGGTATGATCTAAGGGGAGGAGTTTACTACTCTCCTGGCCTATACTCTGGTCTGTCAGTGACCACAAGCACTCTTCTGTCTCGCAACTGTGAGGTGGGTGTCTTCTACACTGTAGCTTCATGCTCTGCTATGCTAGTGCTCCTCCCCACCCTAGGACTCCAACTCAGAATCAAGTGTAGGCAAAGCAACAGAGTCCTGCCCCAGTGCTAGCAAAGAGACCGTCATCTCCTTCTGACCAGTTATTCCATCCCCTTACTGTCTGTAGGCTGAGAACTCGAGAAGTAGCCACTGCCACTGCCCCTGCTGATTCACTCCCTCCCAACACCTGCTCCTACTTTACTGTGGCCAAGGCTGTGCTACACTATGCTGACCCAGATGTGACAGACCTTTCATGCTGACCTTCTAAGTTGTCTTTGGCATCTGTGGGCTGACAGGTCTGGAAACGTCTAATTCAGGCACCCTGAGGCCTGCTCCAGGATTGCTGGGGCCTGCTCTGTGTAAGCCTGCCCTGTGTGACTCTCTGTCTGGTGCAACAGACCTTTTCTGTCGACTTTCCAGATTTTCTTGGGTGAGAAACTTTTTTCATTCCATCTTTTTACGGATTCTGCTACTCTAGTATTTGTTTAGAGTAATTTTTTTAGAGGCATTTGTAAGGTTTTAGGGGAGAGTTCAGGTGACTCCCTGCCTTTACTCTGCCATGGTGGAGATGCCCCCACTGACACTGCATGTTCACTGGTTTCCACCACTGCCCCTCCCCACCATGCCTTCAAAGCTGTCCCTCCTTGTCTCAGCCTCGTTGTTTCACTGGCTTCCTTCAAGAAGCCTTCCTTGGTCCACTGTCTCTGTGTGATTTCCTGCAATTTACCTTGTATGTAGGAAACAAGGAAACAAACTTTTAAAAGTGCCTGCTTTGTGCCAGCCACAAGCACTTCACAAACATTAGCTCATCAGATCCCAACAACCCTGATATGTAGGGCCCATTACGTCCATTTTACAACTGAAAAAAATGAGGCAAACTAGCTACTGTCTGAGACCAGATTTTATCTCAGGCCTTGCTGTGTACTCTATCCACTAGATCTCCTAGTAAGTATGTATGTATGTATCTATATGAAGTTGTCTGCAAATTGTCTCCAATTTTCTTTATTCCTTCTTGGAATCCCAAGAGCCTACTAGCTGCTTAGATCAAAGCAGATGCTTAGCAAAAGCTTGTTGACTTAATTATTTGACCAAAACCCTTTGGAATGTGAGCTCCTTGAGGGCAGGGGCTGCATCACCTTGCTTTGCACCCCAGCACTTAACACATAATCAGTGCTTGTTGAACTGCCATGAGTGAGTCCCCAGGGGATTGGAGCCATTCTCTTATTTTCTGAATTCCAAGATCTAATAATATCATTTCTACACAAGGAAGGGGCAATACTTTGAATCAAGCTGGAATCTGTTAAGCCAGAGCTCACTCAAAGACATAACTGCCAAACATATTACATTCTCATAAAACTTGTATATTAGGAAGAAACTTGTAAGTTTCCCCTCCCTCAACCTGACTTTGGCTCTCAGAGGTCTTAATTATTCAGTTACGCACTTCATTCCTTAGAATTGGGCAATGTCTTATTTAAGCAACTTCTTTCCCAGGGCTGACGAGACTTTATGACCTTGCCCTAAAAGGAGGTCCCAAAGCACTTCGTTGGTCCCCAAAGAACTTCCAGGATGAGCAGAACTTTTAAGTCTGTTCTACTTTTCCCAAACAGTAAGTTATTCTGATCATTCTTTTCAAAGCCAAATCTATGCAATGAACTATTAGCAGTTTTAAAACATTATAACCACATTCTCTAACAATTTAATTCATCATTTCACAGTGTCCAGATCAAGAGAAGTTGATTTCCTAACAATACAATTGTATCACCCTCTAGGTATCATTTTAAAAATTAATGACCTTGGTTGCCAAATAATTTCCAAAAATCAAAATGAAAGAAAACTTTGACGCAAATAATAACAAAAGCAATGTTACAGATTTAAAACAAATCTTATTGTTCTGACAAAACAGATTTAAACAAAAACTAGTTTCCAATCAAGTGACAATTCAGTTGAATATATTTTCCAAATTATTTTACATAGAAAATCACTTTGCCCAGCTACGATTGTAACACTCTAGAGGGATTGCAGTCAGTTACCAAAATATTTATACCACAACTTTTTGTGCCAACAAACAAGATATCAAGTGAGTAACCATCAATTGTTGAATAGCTAAATAAACTACAGTACAGGAATTCAAAGGAATATTATCGTAGAGCAATGGGAAACATCAGGATTTCAGGGAGGAAAGCCATGACATTTGTAGGGGTTTATTCACAGTAAGTAATTTTGGATGTTTAATGAGGTCTCCTACTGGGAAACCTAAGGAGGTCTTGAACAAGAGACCTAATCTTGTTAATTAGATCCATAAAGTTTATCTTCAGCAAGACTTTATCAAGGTATAATCAAATACTGTTGAAATCTAAAGCAAACCATTCAATGTCACACTAACAAGTCTATCTCCCAATGACTAATTCCAAAGTACCCAAAGCTGCTCAGTTCTACGAAAAATGAACACATTTTCTAGGGAAAAAAGGCAGATGAGGTGAAGTTCTATACAGTCAGTCAAAACATGCCGTGGAGCTGAGGCTCAGAACCTGAGGTTCTAATTGCAAAATTCAGACTCAAATCAAAGAAAATAGGGAAAGCCATCAGACCCTACAGCTATGCCCTAAACAACATTGCTTACCGATATGAAGTAGAAATGATGAATAGATTTAGGGATTAGATCTGATAGAGTGCCTGAAGAATTGTGGACAGAGGTTTGCAATACTGTACAGAAGGCAGCAACAAAAAATATTTCAAAGAAAAGGAAGAGCAAGAAAACAAAATGGCTGTCTCATGAGGCCTTACAAATAGATAAGGAAAGGAGGAAAGGAAAAGGGAAAAGATATACCCAAATGGATGCAGAATTCCAGAGAATAGCAAGGAAAAATAAGAGATTTGTGACGTCTCATGAGTTCTGTGCAGCAGACAAAAGTCTTCTGTCATTAATCAAATCCATCAGATTTATCTCCAGGAAGATTTCTCCAATATACAAACACATATGAGCTCCAGATGAAGGCCTTCCCACAATTATTGCTTTTATAAGGATTGCTTCCAGTGTGAATATTGTGATGTTGAGTGACCTGCATCTTCCAACAAAGGTAGGTCCTCATTAAGCATGTTCATAAGTCTTCTCTCCACCATGAATCCCTGATGTAAAGTAACAGGAGATCTCTGCTGAAGGCATTCCCACATTGAGTCCTTGTAGGGCTTCTTCCTAAGATGAATCTTCTGGAGTCTAACAAGCTCTATAGACCATTACATTCATAAGGTTTCTCTCCAGTATGGAGTCTTTGATGTTTAATAAGGTTGGAAGTATGTTTGAAAGCCTTTCCACACTGATTACATTCATAAGATTTCTCTCCAGTGTGAATTCTCTGATGGTTAACAAGGTGGTACCTGTGTGCAAAAGCCTTTCCACACTGATTACATTCATAAGGTTTCTCTCCAGTGTGAATTCTCTGATGTATAATAAGGCGGCAATTGAGTGTGAAAGCCTTTCCACACTGATTACATTTATAAGGTTTCTCTCCTGTGTGCATTCTCTGATGTGGAGTAAGATCACTTTTACACCAGAAAGCCTTCCCACACTGATTACATTCATAAGGTTTCTCTCCAGTGTGTTTCCTGTGATGTAGAGTAAGATCACTTTTACGCCTGAAAGCCTTTCCACACTGATCACATTCATAAGGTTTCTCTCCAGTGTGGAGTCTTTGATGTTGAGTAAGTTTGGATTTCTGTGTGAAAGCCTTTCCACACTGATTACATTCATAAGGTTTCTCTCCAGTGTGGAGTTTTTGATGTTGAATAAGGTTGTAGGTCTGTGTGAAAGCCTTTCCACACTGATTACATTCATAAGGTTTCTCTCCAGTATGTACTCTCTGATGTTTTGTAAGTGTGTACCTCTCTATGAAAGCCTTTCCACACTGATTACATTCATAAAGTTTCTCTCCAGTATGTAGTCTTTGATGTTGAGTAAGTTTGTAGTTCCGTGTGAAAGCCTTTCCACATTGATTACATTTATAAGGTTTCTCTCCAGTGTGGAGTCTCTGATGTTGAGTAAGTTTGGATTTCTGTGTGAAAGCCGTACCACACTGATTACACTCATAAGGTTTCTCTCCAGTGTGGAGTCTTTGATGTTTAATAAGGTTGGAGTTCAATTTGAAAGCCTTTTCACACTGATTACATTCATAAGGTTTCTCTCCAGTGTGTTTTCTCTGATGTAGAGTAAGATTACTTTTACGCCTGAAAGCCTTTCCACACTTATTACATTCATAATGTTTCTCTCCAGTGTGAATTCTCTGATGAATACTAAGGTTACTTTTACGCCTGAAAGCCTTTCCACACTGATTACATTCATAAGGTGTCCTGCCAATGTGAATTTTCTGATGTATAATGAAGGATGAGTATTCATTAAAAGCTTTACCACATTCATGACACTCATGTGGTTTCACTCCAGGATTAATTTTTTGATGGTAAATAAAGGATGACTGCTGCCTCAACACTTTCCCACAATGATGACAATCATAAGGTTTTCCCCCTCTGTGGATTCTGTGAAATGCAGCACAGATGTGTCTCCCACTGAAGTCACAAGGACCATCCCTCATGAAACTTTCCTGGTGAGTTTCTTTCACAGAAATGCTTAGCTTTGCAGTAGTCTCTTTCATTTCAGGTCTAATCTCTCCTTCTGCAAGAAACAATAAAACATATATAAAGATACATGTATACACACACAAAATTAAAATCCATTCCCTCCACTGCCAGAAAATAAATGACCGAGAAAGCAGGATATACATCCTACTTCCCCAGGCTGAGACAAAAGTCTGCAAAGTTCAAAGACAGGATCAGTCATTAGAAAATTGTATTAGTTCAAATCTGAGGGATGCTTCATTCACAAAGAGCTTCATACACATTCACACTGGATCCTCACAAAAACCTATGACACTGGAAGACCCAGCGCTCTCATTACATTAACAGCTCAGGCCAGGAGCTCAGAATGGCTGGGTGACCTGCCCAATATCTGTGTAGCTGAGGAAAAAACACCAAACCTGTAAGTGGGCATGCTCTGTCAACCATACTAGATGGCTTTTATCTATTCCACTTTATTTTTTTTTTTAAGAAAACTTATTTTATTATTGTATGCTGACTTGTTCTCTCTTCAGGTCTTCCTATTCCCTGAGACACAAAAGTATTCAGATTAGGCCAATTAATAACCCTACAATGTGGCTATAAGTTGAAGTTAAAAGAAGAGTCAATCAATATGGCAAACTTCACTGTAGCCTGGTTTTGAGAAATTTCCAATCACTGCCAACTTTGAGCAACCCCCACCCTGATCAGTGAGCAGCCATCAATACTTGTCTAGAGCCACCATCAGTAACAAGATTACGATTCACTGAAGGCTCAGATGACAGATAGCTTTTATTTGCAATGAAATGGTTTTAAGTTTCAGTATATAAATTTTTATTATTATTTGTTGGCAATTGGGGTTAAGTGACTTGCCCAGGGTCACACAGCTAGTAAGTGTCAAGTGTTCAGTCTTTGGACACATTTGAACTCAGGTCCTCCTGACTTCAGGGCTGTTGCTCTATCCACTGCACCACCTACCTGCCCCCAGTATGTACATGTTAGACAACAGTATTGCATACATAATAGACAACAGCATAGAGTAAACATAACTTTCATATACACTGAGAAACTGCAAAATTCATGTGACTTAATTGATTGCAGTATTCACTTTACTGTGGTGCTCTAGAACCGAACTTAGAATGTCTCTGAGGTGTGCCTGAAATTTTTCTCATTCTTGTTTTGATTTTGACTCTTTCCTCCCTAATTCTACTCTCCTCCTTAAACTGTTACTAGCCTCACTCCTTGAGTGGCTTCATATCCCACTGAACTCCATGTCTCTCCATTCCCAAACACTCTCATTTACCAGAACCAGCTAAGAACGAGGCTCCTCATGTGTTGCTTCTTCTCAAATGCCTCCATGTTTGTAGGCTATCTTGGCAGCTCCTTGGCAACAGGGACTGGCTTTTCCCTCTCATACAGTTTAGCGAGGTGTGTAGAAAACTGGAGGTGCTTCATCCATGCTTACTGACTGATGACTGAGCCCAGGGCTGACACCAGGCCCCAGGTTCAAACACAAGCCTTGTATTCTGGTCTCTGCCTTAGTGCGCAAATGCAGATTCTGGTTTCAGGCCTGTTTCTGCCTCTTTCCTGCACTTTATCTCCTATACTGAGTGGCATTTTTCCCTAGTTCTAACCATATTGAAACCTGACCAGATCCACATTGAAGATCACAGAGACTTCTTTCTAGGCTCCTGAAGCATCTTATACTATGGGACACAAGGGAGTTTCTCCTTGCCACTACCCCAAACTGAGAGTGACTATCAACTCAAAGAATCGGACCAATGATTCTCCAAGAACTGGCCAAAGATTGATCCTCAAAGACCAGAGGAGGGACAGAGTGATGGTTTATGTAAAGCATAGCCTTGGGTTGATTCTACTTTGTGACTACTTAGATACTTAGAGCCAGGCTTCCTGGGTCCACTTCACATTCAGGCTACATAATCTCAGTGTGGCCCTCACTGTGGCAAGGCCATCCTTTCACATCTCCCTAACTGACTCCCTTGGGACAGCTACATGGTGCAATGGAATGAGTACTGTTCAGGAAGACTCCACTTCAAATCCAGCCACAGCCACTTACTAGCTGTGTGACTCTGGGCAAGTCAGTCAGGCTGCTGGCCACACTTAACTCATGTGTGAAATTAGCTTGAAAAGGTAATGGAAACCACTCCAGTATCTTTATCAAGAAAAGCCCAAACTGGGTCATGAAGGGTCGGAAACAACTGAAATGACTGAACAGTCACATGACTGACTCACTGTTTCATTCACCACAGCAGCTTTTTAAATTCTTTTTATTCTTCCCCAACCCTCCCTTAGTTCTTGCTCCCACTCTCTACACCCACCACTCACCTCCTCAGCAGGGAAATTTGCCTTATATTTAATTGAAAAAATTGGACACTTAACAAGAGCTATCTTATCTTCATCTCCCATAAGTCAAGTGCCTTTTTTTCCTTCATGACACCAGTGTCAGATAAAAGTGTCCTTCTTCTGCTCTCTAAAGGAAACTCCTTTCCCTGTGGAAATCATCCCATTCCATCACACCATCTTCCAGGTATACTGCCTCTCCAGCATCATCTTTTTTCACTACTTTTCAGTCTCTTCAACACTAATGTCTTCTTCCCTATTACCACAAATAATACCTATTCTCTCTAATCCTCAAAATACAGTCACTTGATTGAAATGGAAATTGGAAATTCCCCTTTAAATTAATAAGATCACTCAAATAAATAGGTTCAGTTCAAATCCCGGCCATGACCGTTCCATAACTCCTGAGTGTTCTTGGCTTAGCATCCCAGGAACTAGCCATTCCTAGGTCACGTTGACATGGAGGGTTGGCTCCCCTCCTTGTGAGACGTGATGTTATTAAAAAAACAAAATACCAAGCCTCAGGCGGATGGGAGCGTGGCTAAGGCCAGATGTGTATTGAACAAACCATGAATAGCGCATGCGTCAAAAAAGGACTTCTTGGCCCCAAGCCTTCTTTGTTTAGAACAATATAAAAACACTGCACCCGCTGAGCTTCACCCGCGGGAAGGACGCTTTGCCCGGGAAAATCTTTACACAATTCAAGTTTGTACGGGCTGCAACGGGGCTCCCAGCCGTTGATTGACTTTGGAGGTTCCCTTGAATTGGTGATGTATTCTCTTCCATTACCGACTCTCTTGATCAGTGCTATGTTATTGATTGTTCTTATTGTTATATGCTTTCTATGCAAATTCAAACTATCTGTGCCTTGCTTCTTCTAAATAAATTATCTATTTCTTATTATTTTCTGGTGCATTGGAGAGTGTCATTTATAGGAGCGAATCCGAACCTCACTAAATCATATTAATACATTGATCCATTCAATTCAAGAGATATTTTCTAATACCTTTCTTCCATATCATGACTAAACAGCTGGACATGCCCATTTACAACTGCTGTGTCCAACTCCTTCCTTTTGCTTTCTCCGAAATACTCTGCAGACTAGCTCCCAGTTGCTTTCTTCAATGGAAACTCCTCTCCAAAATTAGCAAAACTCTCAACAGTTGCTAAATCAACTGGTTGTTTCTTCGTCCTCATCCTTTTTCGGCTTCTCTGCAGCCTTTCACACAGTCAATCACCCTTTCCTCTCTTCCTCTCTCTCTCTGAGTTTTAGTGACACTCCTCTCCTAGTTCTACTACTGTATCCAAACTAAACTCCTTTGTCCCTCACCCCTCCCCTCTTCCTACTTACCTATGGCAGTCCAAGGCATCCTTTCCACAGTGCTGACTCACAAATGAGGTGTCATGCCCCACTCACTGACTCTCACACATTCACATTACTGACCCCCATATTCAATCTGCTGGAAAATCCTGTGATTCCAACGAGGCAACATCTCTCCCATTCACCCCCTTCTCTCCCAACACTGACACTGTTCTGGTTCAGGCTCCAATCACCTAACACCTGAGGTATTGCAAGAACCTGCTGCTTGGCCCAGCTGCCTCAAGTCTCCCCCCACTCCAGGCATTCCTCCACCCACTTGTCAAAGTTCATCTTCCTAAAGTTTTGACTGACCATGTCACCATGTTCTCAACACCCTGCTATATTTCCCTAGGAAAAGGATGAAATATAAAATCCCCTCTAGGGCTATTAATCACCTACCCCTTCTTTACCCACCCCTCTCCCACTCTTCCAGTCTTCTTTCACCTTATATCTCCACCAAACATGCTATATTCTTCTCTTCTGTGAACAGGACACTCCATCACCCGACTCTACAGGCTGTCCTCACCATCCTGTGCCTAGAATGCTCACCCTGGCTTCCCTGAAGCCCCAGCTAGAACCCACCTTCCACAATAAGCCTTTCCAGCGTCCCTAGCTCAATGAGCTCCTCCCCATACAAGAATTCTACATAGTTGTTGGTATGTCATCTGCCCCAACTTCCCCGCTTCCCCAGTTTCTGAGCTCCAGGGGAGCAGGGGATGTTCCTTGTATCTCTTTATATCTTGGATTCTTAGCAGAGGGTCTGGCACACAGCTGGCACTTAATAAATGTTCACTGACTTGAAGAAAGTCTAAGAAAGAACTCAAATTGGAAAGCCTAACCCCTTTTTGCATTTTAAAAATTCTCCCTGCATCCAAATTCTAAACAATGAGTTTTTATAGGATCACAGATTTATCACTGGTAGAAAGCTTAAAGCATCCAACTCCCCAGTTTTACCATGGGGAAACTGAGACTCAGAGGTTCCTTTACTTGTCCAGGATCCCACTGCTAAGAAGTGTCTAAAAAAGAATTCCAAGTCAGGTCTTCCTGCCTCCAAATCTAGCACTTGCATCACCACCACACCCAGAAGCCTCTTGTAATCACAGCTCTCATCCACCTGCTTTCATCTCACTCACCTGGATAACAGCTCCTTAGGCCTTCATGCTCCAGAAGCCATGGTGCTTCCTTTTCCTCAAAATAAGACATCAAATCTTCTCTGGGAACTGGCAGCCCTGGGCATGGGGAATCAGGGGTGAGGGTAGAGAAAAAGTAGTAATTTAGCTTCCTTTAGGGAAAAGAGTGTGCATACAAAGCTACTGCACTTTCAGAATCACTCCATCACATTCACACACATCTGGCTTATTCTCCCATCAATGCCTGTAATGCAAGTAACCCAAAATAGGACCTGCCCAATCAGCCTTGAGGAACCAGCTTTGGCCCTGTCCCCTACCCTGCCCCTCACTCCCTGAAACCTATAAACACCTTGTTACTGTTCATTCAGGGAGTGTTTGCCTCTTCTGGTGAGATTCTCCTCCTGGGAAACTCAATGAACCTTAGTCCAAATTCTGACTCTTGGCCAGTCTGTTATTCCTGGCATTGACAGGGGCTTGCAAACAAGGAGCACAGGATGGTTCCCAGGACTCCTTAACCAAGTGTCCACAGCATTTAATTTTGGGAGCTTTGGGGAGAGGTGGGGGAGAAGATCATGGGGCCAATTAGGAGTCAGAAAATTTGGTCCTGGTGCACCTGCTTCATAGAAGGATAGACTCACTGCATAGTAATAATTATCTGGACAATAGAGGCAGCTGGGAGTGCCGTGGAGAGAGCCCTGGGGCTGGAGTCAGGGATGCCAGGGTTTAAATCCAGCCTCAGGCAGTTACTAGCTGTGTGCCTCTGGAAAAGTTCCTTACCCTCTGCTTGTTACAGTTTACTCAAATGTCAAATGGGAATAATAATATCACCTAATGACATAATATTGTAAAGAAAGCACTTAGCACAACAGCTGGTGAACAGCAGGTGAATAGAAAGGCTTATTCTCTTCCTCTCTTTCCCACCATCTGCTGGAATGGGGGCACTGCAAAGGAAGATTCAGGCGTGCCATAGTAGGCATATGTAGGAGCTGTGAGCCATAAATGGAGGCTTCTTAAGAAGAAAGTTCCATATAGTAGGGCCATCCCAAAGAGGAAGGGGTCACAAGGAAAAGCCACCCGGGCACTTTCCAGAGACTTAGGAGACAAAATTTCTGTCCAGGGAGAGGCTGGACTACATAATGCAGGATTACTTCCCCATCTGAGATGCTTTAACACTGATCTGATCTTTGACCTCAAGCTACCTAGACTTGGCAAGAGGCAGCTTCAGAAGCAATCAGGAAACCTCCAGGTTCTATTCACACAGTGTACTGACCTTTTATACGAAAACCAGGCAGCAGGGGCCCTGTCTCTTGGAGACCAGCACTATTCCCTTTCAGTAATTATTAAACGCTCCAAACCCAGCCCACTCAGGAATGAAGACATTCCCTTGGATTGCAGACTCAGAGTGGCCAGGGAAAGTGTCCTTACCCAGGGAGACCAGGTTCTGGGCATTCTCCAGCATGACCTCCTTGTACAACTCCTTCTGAAGTTGGTCCAAGAGGACCCATTCCTCCTCGGTGAAGTCCACAGCCACATCCTGGAATGTCACCAGCTCCTAAACCATCAAAAGTCACAAGATTTAGAGCTGAAAGAGACTCCAGGATTCCTGTAGTCTAACCCTGATCACATGAGAGGAGGAAACTGAGGCATAGGCAGGTGGGTTACCCAAAGATGGTACCTTTGAGGAGTGTCAGTTGGAATAAAGTTGAGGAAAGTCTTACTATGGAATGTGTCTCCCCACGGAACCTGGGACAAAGTATGTGTTTTATCTGTGAGGTAGGAGGTTCTGTGGAAGAGATAGACAGAAGATGATCTGAAATTTCTGCCTTCTAAGAACTGATAGAAGGAATACATTATTAAAAAAATCGTGAAGAGTTTTTGGGAAGCTGTCAAGTGCAGTGTATTCTGTGATGGCTGGGAGGATTTATGTAGGATTATTGATAAGAGAGGAAAGAAAAAGAGAAGATGTAGTTTATTTCCTGAGAAGCTAAAACAAAAAGTTTTAGCTAGATAAACCAGGAAACTGAACGTCTTCCATTTGTGGCTGAAAGGTGCCACAGTGAAATGATACCAATACTAAACATATATTGACCAAAGGGTATAGCGTCTAAGTTTTGAAAAGAAAACTTAAATGAATTACAGGAGGAAATAGTCAATAAAACTGTACTAGTGAGGAACCTCAACCTTCCCCTCTCAGAACCAGACAAATCTAAAAAAATAAAAAATAAACAAGAAAGAAGTTAAGGAGGTAAATAAAATTTAGAAAAGTTAGATTACTAGACTTTGGAGAAAACTGAATGAGAATAGAAAGGAATATGTTTTTTTCAGTAGTACATGGCAATCACAGAAAAACTGCCCATGGATTAGAGCATAAAAACATCACAATCAAATGTAGAGAAGTACAAATACAAAATGCATCCTATTCAGATCATAACACAATATAAAGTACATTCAACAAAGGGCAGTGAAAAGAGAGATAAAATTAATTGGAAATTTATTCTTCTAATCCTAAGGAATAAATGCATCCAAGACCAAATTATAGAAATAATTAATAATTTAAAGAGAATAACAACAAGGAGACAACCTAACAACATTCATGGGATGCACCCAATGTAGCAGTTGGGAGGAAATTTATATATCAAAACATATATATATATATATATATATATATATATATATATATATATATATATATATATATATATATATATATATATATACACTTAATTTTAGCCTGAGGCAAAGACTGGGGGGCAGGGACATGTGGGGAAGGAGGAAAAAAAGAAGCATGTCAAAAGTGCACAGCAGAGAAGAAAAGAAAACTTACAAGACAGCAAAAAAAAAAGATAGACAGCTCTGAACACAATGAGTAGTATTTACCACATAGGCTTTTTTGAAATGGAAATTTATTGCTGTATATTTTGAATCCTCTCTCATGTTCTGCTGTGCACATGTCAATGCTTTTTTCTTTCCTTATTTTGTATGTATTTAAAATTTTAAAAAAAAATTACAAATAAAAAATGCTCCAAACCACTAACTAATAAGAGAAATGTAAACCAAAACAACACTGAGGTGAAAAGAAAACTCCCAGGCCTTTGAAAAGTTCCCCCAACTCAGCCCTTTCCCTATATCCTCTCAAACAAGGGAAGTACTCCTGTATCAAGGGTCTCCTTCAGCTTGTTTACTCAGAGTTCAGAATGATTTTCTGACTCCATCACACAGAATTGTCTGGCTTAATGAGAACAGATAAGCAGCCTGATCCTGTTTGTTCTTGGGATAAACCTTCAGTTAAGGGGGAAACTGATTCTGTTTGTTTCTTTGGACCAAACCTTTGGGAAATGGTTGACAGTGTTTGGGACAGTGACCACTGAAATCAAGAGTGTGGAGTCTGAATCAGAGATCAGAAAAGGTCTTTATTCTTTCTCAGGAGAAAGGGCACAGCCCTTGCGGCTGCTCAAGTAGGGGCAGCCAGGGAGTTGGCAGCTGGCTGTGAGAAGCAAAGTTTTATAGCCCTAACCCATGCCCCCTCCCACTCTCACCTCTTTCCTCCATTGGCTGGGTACTCAATGCATACCATCAAAATCCGGCAACTAATGCCCATAGAAGCAAACATACCCATATTTGGGAACTAGCTGTATGGGTTCCCCAGGAAGCGGGAGTGGCCTGTGCTGACATGGATTTTTGAGAAAGGTGAAACTCAACTCAGGGCTTAGACCTGAGGAAACTGCACTTTAGGCCATGTCTCACAACAGGTAGTACTACTGTTTTGAATTTCCTGCATATTTTCACAAAGAAACAATCCATAGGTAGGGATGGCCAGCCTCCAGACAATCCTCTTTGTTTCTGGAAATGGCCTCCTTGGCTGCTATGGGTCAAGTCTGAGGGTAGAGTGCACTCACCTGGGCTGGGGGTCTGTGGTTCCGAGGGGCCATTCCCTCTGGCTCCAGGCTCCCTGCTAGGTCAGGCCTTGATCCTCTGCCCACTGAGCTGGGGAGGGAGAAGGATCCCAGGGTAGGAGGCTGGCCTGCAGGGATTTACAGGGGTGAGGGACTGAGAATGCAGCCCACAGGAAGGGTCAGGCTTGGAAATGAGATGATCCCAACCTCTCCTATTCCTTGTCTTCTGTTCCCCTCTCCTGCCCCATTCTCTTTCAGAGACCCAGGAGGCAGAAGGGGCTTGGTATCCCAGATGGGATGAAACCAGACAGAGTCACAATGGCTCCTGAATCAGAGCTCTCCCTACAATTTGTACTCTGCCCTGCCTCCCCTCTCCCCAACCAACACAGACACACAGACACACACACGCACGCATTATCTAGAGAACAGACTGATGGGGAGGGCTCTGCAATGGAGCCACCAGGAATGGCAAGGGTCAGCCTGAGGCTGGGAGAGAAATCCAGTCCGAGATTCACCCCCCTGAGGGCTTTGTTGGAAGAGGGGGCAGGGAAGCAGGAGGCCTGGGGGAAGAGAGCACAGGTAGGGGCTGGGAGACATTCTAACCCAGCTCCCGGCAGAGGTCAGGGACACTGGAGAGACAGGAGGGCTCCAGGTGGACACTGAGCCTGGGAACGCAGGATGCCTGTGTGCTGAGGTCTAACTGGGAGCTGGGGAGGACTCCTGGGACCCCCTGATAGAGGTAAGGCTTGGAATATTCCAGGAAGAGCTGACACAGGGAGCTAGTGCCTGGAATCTGACAAGGAAGCAGCCCAGGAGCTGGGGGTCTATACCAGAGGGGCCAGGCAGTAGCTGGGAGTCCAGACCACGGGGGGCCAGGCAGCAGCTGGGGGTCCTGCATCCAAAGCTGGGTCCTCAGGGCAGGCAGAACTCTGGATCATTATCAGGGGGTTGGAAGGGAGAACAACTCAACCTCTAAAGGCGGGCGGGATCAGGGACCCAGAACCCCTAGAGCCTGCGGGGGTGCTGGAGGCAGGGCTCCTGGGTCCCCAAGGCAAAATGAGCCCCAACGGTAAACCTGCAGAGGGGGAAGAGCCCGGCAGCATGGAGGTGCTGGGGAGCGGGAAGCGGGGTCGCTGAGCACCAGGGCGGAGGAAGAAGAGGAGAGAGAGGAGGGGGAGCAGGGGGGAGGGAGGGAGCCCGGAAGGCAGGGTAGCCGGCACGAGGCACGGCTGCTGGGGCCGACCTACCTGGGACCGGCAAGGACAGAGCGCGGGCAGAGCTTTGTTCCACGTGGGGCAGGAAGAGGGAGCCCGGCCCAGCCAGGCTCCGCCCCGGGTCCTCTCCCCTCCCACCTTCGCGGGGACCCAGCAGCTCACACCCACAACAGGGACACGCCCCCCCTCGCGCCCCGCCCCCACGGCTCTTCTAACAACTCCCATCTCCAGGGCGATCGGGGCCCCGGGTGAAAGTGCGCCTGCGCCAAGCAGTCCTAGAGCTTCCGGCGAGCTTCTCCAAAGCCTGGGACAGGGCCGAGGGGCGGGACCGCTCCGGGAATTTCCAGGGAAGGCCGCTTCCGGTTATGGCCATCAGCATTCTGGGAAATGTAGTCCGTACTGAAGCTCGGGCCAGTGTTCTCCTCGGATGGGCGGGTCGAGGCACACGTGGGGTCCACCGCTTATTCCAATTGGCTACAGTCAAGGCGAGGCCGGGCCTTCACCATTGATCGTGGGGGCGGGACCTAGGAGATGGGGAGGGACCAGAGGGGGGAAGAGCGGGCGGGGAGAGGGCGGGGCCAGGAGGCGGGGCGGCGGGCTCAGAGCTCTCACTGGCCTTGGCTCAGTCCTGGCCCTGCAGCCTCAACAAAGAGATGGTTAGGGCTTTATGTTCACCATGGCCTTTGGTCCCTGACACCCCAGGGACCCACCGCTTAAAGCTTAGGGGGCTCACGTCCAGGGTCCCCGAGGGGGCATAAAAAGGGCCTGAATGTCCAACACAAGCAACGCTGAGAGTTCCCCTTGAGGGGCTCCTTTGAAGGGCTACAAAGGCTTTCCATGTGGTAGGTCATTTGCTCCTCAGAACCAGCCCAGGAAATGGCCACTTTACAGAGGAGGAAACTGAGGCCGACAGGACATGGTGTTCTGGAGAAAAGGGGCCTCCCGGGGTAGAAGGTCATCCGCACCAGCCCGTGTGCTGTGTGCCGGGGGCTGGACTCCCTGCCTTAGTTGTTTTCTTTGTCACAGCCTGGAGGGAGGGAGAGGGTTGGTCTCCCTGCTGGTATAGACAAAATGCTCCAAGAAAACCTGCAAAGGAGGGAAGAGGAGAAGGCCTCAGCTGGGGCACAGACATGGGTCTGGGTCAGATAACTTAGAGCTGATGGAATTCTCCGTGTGTTTAACGGATGTGGGAGAGGGTTGAACCAGCCTTTGGCTTTGGCCCATCAGACAGATCTCAGGGGAGAAGAGCCTTGGAAAGATCTCGGTGGGGAGGCTTTGGCTCCAAGCTCTTTCTGACACTGCAAATTCCCCACTTTGGCCTTGCCTCATTTCTGGGGCATTGGTGGAAAACACAGCCTCTGGATCTGGGGAAAGCCTGGGAGCCGGCCTGCCTCTAGGAGGAGGCTTTCAGGGTGGCAGAAGCCTTTGTGGACATTTTCTCCTTGAAGAATATTTAGAACCCCTGGGAAAATTGTGTAGTTTGAACCTCCTCTTGTGTGGCTTAGAGCCTGGATCTGTTTGAAGCTTTGACACTAGATCTGTGGCTCAGTCAGGACATGCAGGTCCCCCTGACCCCAGACACCTTCAGGGGAGGGAGAGGTCCAGAGGGGGAGTCCAGGAACTTTCTGAGATCTGCCCTTTCAGGGCCCTGTAAGTGCTGTATTTGGAAACTGCCTCCCAGCTGGCCCCTCTGCTGGTTCCCTTATTCCTCTGTCTGAACTCTGTGGAATGTAAAGCTTACTAAAAGCTCTGGGAGCAGCCCCTATTTCAGCTCTCACCTCAGCCAGAGGATGCAACAAGCTTCTTTCTAAAAGCTGTTATCTCAGAAATAGAGATGGAAATATGTGTGTCGGCATGCATGTATGTGTGTGTGTGTGTGTGTGTGTGTGTGTGTGTGTATGTGTGTGTGTATTTAGCGGTTTGCAAGTTGTCTCCTGTTTTCTTTTGGTTTTTTCCGTTCCTGGGAGCCCCAGAGCCCAGTATTTACTGCTACAGTAGGTGCTTAATAAATGCTTGTTGATTTGTTGACTTTAACCACTGGAATGTGAGCTCCTGCTCAATCTTTGTGTCCTTAGCACTCAGCCTACTGGCTGACACATAGTAGGTGCTTAATAAATGTTTATTGATTGGTGATAAATGTTGTTGAATTAACTGATGGCGTCCAGTCCTCAGTTGCAGAGGATTGGAGGCATTCTCTTCTTTTCTGCACCCCAAGATCTGACAACATCAGCTATACTCAAGGAAGGAGGGAGGCCCATTGGGAATCAGGGCTGGGGTCTGCTGAGACTAAGGGGGCTTGAAGGTGTCACTTGGATACATATTATTCCAGTGCGATTTTATCATTTTCCTAATCTCTGGTCAGACGGTCCATGAGATAAATCGCTTCTATAGTAACAATAACCACAACCACAACTTTACCCAAACGTGTAAAGCCTCCTTCCCCCTGCAGCTGAGATCTCGGCCTCCTGGAGGCCAGGAGTGGGTGGAGGAGAAAGAGAGAAAAATACTTTATTATTTAGATTATGTGATTGGTAAAAAGTAAGTTGAGAAGGATCCTCAAAGTGTCAGGTCAGAATTAGAAAAAAGTAAGATATGTGCAGTTTCATGTGTAGAAAGCTTAAGGAAGGTATAATTTATTTGGACAATGTGAATAGAGGGTTTGAGAGTAAAAAGGTTTTGAAACTTTTGGAGAATTGTTAGGGAAAAAAAATTCTTTCTCCCTCTCTGTCTTTACATTCCAACCTTGGCCAAGTTGTTAAATGTAGAAGAGAGAGAGAGAGAGATGGAGGGTGAATCTTTTCCCCTCAGATCATAAAGAGAGGTAGCACTTAATCTTTTCTGCCTGCCGTAAAAGAGAAAAGTTTTTGTGTACTGGAATACAACCAAAAGGTAATTTAATTCATTCTGGTAATACAAATGCTAACTAAGGTTATTAGTTCCTTAATTAGATGTGACCAGTATGGTGAAGAGATGCCTGATTTTCTTTGTAAGGAAATTTGGAAATGCATTCAACAGAATTGGAGTCATCAGATTGGTAATGTGTTTCAAGTTTTAAACACCTAGTATTGTTCCAAATTGGTAAACTTTTGTATTGTTTTGTCAAGCAGTTTTTCGTAATTTGGATATTATTAAGGTGTGAACTTAGAGAAACTACAGTGGGAAAACTGTGTAATACCAGTTATATTATTTTGTCAGCCCTGCTAACCCTGTCTCATAATGTTTTATAGCTGTCATTTAGTAAACTAGGTACTTTTACCTTTACCTGTAATTAAAGAAGAGCTTATAGCTAAAACAATTTGACTATCACTTATGAAAGTTATAAGATTGTTAACTAAGTTATTTGAAGTTACTGTTTTAATGTTAAAACCTAGAATTGTTAATTCGTTACTGTGTGAAAAGGTGGGGATTGGGTAAAAGCCTTATCCAGATCAGTTCTGCCTATTCAAAACAGTCCTCCTTGGGGTAAGGGGGGTCGGCAGGTAGGGGCATTAGGATCAGCCCCTCCCTGGGGTATTAGGCAATTCCCCTTACTTTGTAAACTTGCCCCAGTCCCTGGAAAAAACTGTGTGGGCAAGGTCATCTGCTCTGAGAGTTCCTAAACAATGAACTTGGCTTGCTGAGAAGTTGCAAGTTTATGCATAGTAGATAGAAATGATTTCTAATGATTGACTTTTACACCAGGACAAGTTTAAATTTGAGAAGGAAAGATGTTAAGTGAAATCTCTTATGTATGTGAGTCCTGGTAAATCTTTATTGCTTATTGCAACTCCATGGAAGTACATTAACTGTATCTGGCTTTAAGCTATGATTAGTGAAACTTGCTGTTTGAGGTAAAAGGCTCTTGGGAACTGTAACTAATTTTGTTTTGAGTTTCAATTTGGGTATAGTTGTCTGTATCTGAGAGAAATGCCACAACAACAGGGGGAGATCTACATCTGGGAAAAAGCTGTGAGGAAAATCTTAGCCTCAGTCTAGGATGGGATCCTCCTGGCTCAATTTCCCCATTGTGTTACTTTGAGGAGTGTTTCCCACCTGACTATTCCTGAGTCTGGCTATGATGTGGAATTCATGCTGCATGACTGGAGAACTGTAACTGTTATCTGAATTCAAACAGAGCTAAGGATATTCTATCATGTCATATTTGGATGTCACATGTCCCTGCCTTTTCCTTTTATGGTAGATTTCTCTGATCAGAGCAAGTGGTCAGTAAAAGACATCAGCACAATATAAGTATGTGAGATCTTGCTGTTTTGATCTGAATTTGTAGTCATCCCATGGCCCAAGTTCAAAATTAGTGTTTGAATTTGTCATATGTAAAAGATTCCATTTCTGAAGTATAATTAGAGAAGGATAAACAAGTTTATGGAACAAGATTGTGTATCTATTAAGGCAGTTTTTTGCAAGAGCCCCCTCCCCAATGTAACCACCTCAGAGGTCTTTGCCACCCCTTTTGTACTGGCCATTCCTTTATGGGAAAATTTTTCTATGTCAACATCCTGTTTCTCAACAGGGAACATTCCTTTGCTTGGGAGACAAGTTCTGTGGCCACTATACAGGTAAAGACCCTTGCCAGTGGAGGGATTGTAAATGTTTCTGCTGGTCTCTTGACTTGCACCACCTGTAAGGATGCCTACAGTGATGTGTCCCCAGAACTTTACCTCTGCCAGCTGTACCATCTGTTCCGAGGGAATACTCCCTACTTGCACTCATGACCAAATTCCTCCTGCCACTCTCCTAGTAGGTATTTCCTATTTAACCTTCTCTTCCTAGTTGACATACAATGTTACTGCCCCCTTCTAGCTGTAACACTCTTTTTGATCTTTTGAAAGTTTCTCTCTTACCTGTAATATTGGCATGTAATCATACTGACCCATGGAGCATCCATGCCCAGTACCTTTTATAAACAGGTCCCATCTGTACCCCTAAGGGATACTCCTTCTTTTGTGTGATGGGTGGGCCAGGTGGTGAGGATTCTGGGGAATAACTAAAGCAAAATGCCACTACTTGGCAGGACGCCAGGACTGTTGTTCTAGCCACCCAATGTTTAACACCTTATAAGGATTTTGGTGTGTGCTCCCTTGGATGTTTGGCACCACCTCTGACCATTTTCAATATTACTACACCCAGTACCTCCACCCTAACAAGAGTGAAGCGTGGGT